TCCTTCAACTCAGCAGCAACATTGTTCGTTTTCTCTGCTAATTCATTCTCAAATCCATCGACAAACATGCATATCAACACGATGACGATCCCAACCACTAAAAGAGTCCTCATTTTAGCTGTCAACAAATAGCAATTAGAAATAAATGACTTTGTTCAAAGAAATAATTGGGACGTAAGAGCTGGGATTTGGGACGTGCCGTGCAAAAGTCTTCCAAAGAGCGTAGGAAAAGAGCTCGAATTTTAAAATTATGTTTCATTTTTAATCAAATATTCATTGAAATCAAATGAGATCAAATATGAAATATCCATTTTTTTGTCGTATGGCTCATATTTGATGGGATTTTATAACAAAAGCATTTTCTTTTGAGCCAGTTAGTTTACTATTAAAATCTGGCAACGCCCTACCCTGGCTAATATAACATCATGAAATATCGAACTCCCAATAACAACTGACATACAAACTCAATGCAATTCAAATGACTTAACTGCTTCCCTAAAACCTGTTATAGTAGTTCCAGTTCGGCCAAAGTAATCACTGATGTTGTCATTACCCGAGTTTCACCGAGTTTATTCTAACGATAAATCCTTTTACTCATGTGTCCCCATAACCTAGCGAAATACTCGCTTGCAGTTTTTGCATTGCCCAAAACTAAATTGTAGGACTTAAGAAATGTTATCACGTGAGTATTTGAGCGCCAGTGCAAACAGAACTGAACAAGTGACGCGCGTCGCTACTCAAGAATCCCAGTTACAGTATATATACAAGCGGAGTGGAGACATAGTGTTACCTATAAAATTTGAATTGCATTTGTAAAATGGTTATATTCAAGACCAACTAAATCTAACATTGACAAACTGAGCTTACTTACCGTTMATCCGCGTTATAAGCTCTAGAGATCAGCACCTCAAGACGCAGATACTTCGATAGGAGAGCCAAGAGATTCGGTGGGCCTTTTAAGAGCGAGTTTCTACCAATCAGCTGGCTTCTTGGTGACRTAWAATACATTCTTTTAATAGAGGCTAGTGACTAAAACTCGTGATATTTTTTGACTGACACAAAAAGAATCAAAGAGTAAGAATTTTTTTTTATTCCACTGAGGGGAGACTGAAGTCCGTCCACCTGACACCAATTTGTTCAGTAGTACTCTTTTTCGATTCCCTTGACAAAAGAGAACAATACAAATGCAGTTCTTAAAACTCATTAAAAGTGGAGTTAAAAAGCCATAAAATACAAACAAATACTAGTGCAAGTTCAAGGGAATAACGCGGTAGAGTGGTTTTACAACCATTGAAACAAAGCGTATAGTTTATAATAGTCAAAATAATTGTATGAGGAAGTAGCTGATCCCATTAAAGAGTGCTCAATACACATAAAGTGTAG